AAAACCAAAAACTGAAGATAAACCAAAACCAAAGTTTAGTTTCCAAACTAAACCAAGTCAACCTTCATTAGCTGGTATGGGTTGGCGTCAAAGACTTATGGCAGCAGGTGGTTATGTAAAGTAAAGAAAAAAAAACATTTTTTTATTTTTATAAAAATGCCCCCATATAGAATGGATAGAAAGTCTGCTAGAATAAAAGCAGAGTTGCAAAGATATGGTTGGAGAGTTTCGAAGAAGTTTAAATATAGGAAGGGAAGACCCATAAAAGTCTATGACAAACTGGCTGGTCTTCGCTACGAAATGGATTTGGAAACAGCACGTGCCAATTATCCAAACAGACTAGAGAGGTTAGAAGAAGAACGTCTTATGGACATGCCTTTCGATGTTAGTGAGCATTGCATGAAGTAAAAATTTATTTTAAAAAAGTGACATTTTTTTATTTTATTTGAAATGTACGCTGAGTTTGTTGGAGAAGACCGTTGGGAAACTTGTTTGTTAGATGAGAAATATGAAATTCACTGTTGTGAGTCATTTGAAGTCAGAAACAAAAAGACAAAAAGAGTTTTAAGCGAATGGGAGCGAAATAACGGATATGCTGTTATGAAGATGGGTGGAAAACACTATCTTAAACATGTTGTCATTGCAACTCATTTTATACTGAATCCTAACAATTTACCTTTTGTAGACCATATAAACCGTATAAGAAACGACAATAGACTTGAAAACTTACGTTGGGTCACTCGTTCTGAAAACAATAAGAACAAAGGCAAATTTGGAGATATTGTATTCGAATTTGTCGACGAACCAGAAGATGAAACAATTGAAATTACAGACTATGGCAAGCATACGTTTGAGTTTTACTACTATAGCGAAGAACAAGACTCTTTCTACTTTTATACCGGCGTAAACTATAGGAAATTACAAGTATATTTTACTAAGGCGGGCTATGCTTATGTAAACACTAGAGATACAGATGGAAAAAACGTTCAAATACTTCTTAACAAATTCAAGAAGCTATATGGCATACCATTTTAAAACAATATATTTTTACATATATTAAATGCTTCAGGCTGAAAAACAAAGAACAAAAGTAGCAGATACAAAACCGTTAGACTATATCTTTACAAATGCTGGTAGGACTATTTCAGATGAAGAAATTTCATCCCGAGTATACAGGTTTGACTATCCAATTCGTTGGCTTCAAAGTCCTTCAGATGCAAAGGCAATAGGATTTAGAAGAGTTTTGTTTTCAAATAGAACTAACGCATTTATGTTCGCAGTATATTTTCATGGGCAGTATAAAGGTTCTGATGGTCTAATAGACAAATTTGACGAAATGAGGATCTTTACAGTTCGTTCAGACGAAAGTCTTGAGAAAACTCTAAATGACTTTCAAACTCAAATGAACAAATATTATTGGGAATTTCAAGAAAAATACGACTCTTTACTAAATGGAACATACTATCTGAAACTAGAATATGACAAGATGAACTCCACCGTTTCATTTCAAAAGATTGAAATTAACCCTCCAAGAGATACAGAGTTTTTATATTGGAAAGTAGACAAACGTTCTTGGGCACAATTTCTTCGGTTACTAAACCAGAACGAACCATTACCACCAGATGGTCCATTTAAATTTATACTTCCACCAGCAGATTTGACAGTTTATAGAAACGTGTTTGACCCTCAAAATGTTATGTGTCATGCAAGTTTCAGTTCAAGCAACAATAGTTTTCTATGTATTGGTAAGGACTTTTATGACTTTGCTTCTAAATTCTACGAACCACCTAGTAACAGTTTCTCTGACTTTCAAGTTTGGTTCACAACAAATGGTGTGCAACATATTATTCCATTGTACTATGACTTTTATCTCGAATTGTCTTTCATATATAACTACGGAAAAGTGCTGAAAAAGTATTGAAAAATAATGTTTAGGGTAGAAGGTTAGATCTAACCTCTTTTCTAACCTGTTTTCTACCCTCTTGAATTTTCATGAATTTTATACAGAAAACATAGCACAAAAATAATGTTTAGGGTAGAAGGTGAGATCTCACCTGTTTTCTCACCTCTTTTCTCACCCGTTGAATTTTCATGAATTTTATACAGAAAATGCTTGTTTTGAGGTCGAGCCACTTTTGGCTCCACCGTATTCTTTCAACCAAAACTCATGAATTCAGCAAAAATATAATTTAGGGTAGAAGGTTAGATCTAACCTCTTTTCTAACCTCTTTTCTACCCTCTTGAATTTTCATGAATTTTCCCGAAATAAAAAATAAAGTTAGTTTTATTTAAAAAATATTTTTTATTTTTATTGTAAGAACATGTTAGCAACAACAGCACCAAACTCGTTAGTTATGAACCCAACATCTATGTTAGTAGAGATGAAAAGCTTCATTCCTTCTTCATATACTTTCGAAACAGAAATCCAGAAGATAAAGCAAGAACTTTTAACAAGTAATTTAGACTGTAGTGCGAAAGATGAACAAAATGAACAGTATCTTTATGAAATGCAGGACATTATTGACCATTTGCCTAAACTACCTGAAATCCAACAACAAAAACTCACTATTCCTGAATTCGACGAAATTGAAGTCAAAGCAACTGACTCAGTAGAAATAAAGAAGTTCATACGAAAGGTAAATTATGAATTCCTTGGTTTTCATTGCAACCATAAGGTTATGGACAAAGATTGCGACATGGTATATAAGAATGTTTCTGACATATATAAATCTGGGGAGTTTAAGACCTACGACAACTTTGTTTCGTTAGTTGCAAAATGTGTATGGCAGATAAGAGATAAAGATAGAAGAGGTAAGGTATGGAATGAACAGATAAGACCAACTGCTTCAGATTTAAAGAAAACCATTGACGCTTTAGTTGTTTTAGCTGGTTTTATTTCAATGTATAACGCAAAAATGAACCCGCAATGTTCTAAATGTAAAGCAGCAATGAGGAAATATAACTACTCCGTCAAAGAGATAGAACGTATGAGAAACGACTATGCAGACTTAAAGAAAGAAGCAGAAAAACCAGCAGAAGATAAAATGGACATGTTAGAATTTCTGAACAAAAACTATCCAACTGCTGACGATTTCCTTTTATCTGACGTCAAGAAGAAATATAAAGAAACTTTCGGCATTGTTAAAACATTCGATATCCTCAGCGAAGAAATAGAAGCTACAAAACTGTTTAAAGTCTCAAATATACATCGTACAATTCATGTAAAACGCTTATAAAATAACAGGTGAAAAACGGGTGAAAAAACAGGTGAGATCTCACCTTCTACCCTAAAATATATTTTTACTGAATTCAGCAACAAAATTCTGAGTAAAATAATTTTTAGGGCTTGTGTCAAACCGTTGAGTTTTCACAAAATTTAAAAAATAACGTTTACCATGTAAAACGCTTATAAAATAACTGAGGTGAGAAAACGGGTGAGAAAACGGGTGAGATCTCACCTTCTACCCTAAAATATATTTTTGTCTGATTTACGCTCATTACGATGAAGAAGTCTTGACAAAACATTTACGTTCATGTTTGACAAAACATGTACGATGAAATCATGACAAAACATGTACGATGAAATCATGACAAAACATGTACGATGAAATCATGAAAATTCAAGAGGGTAGAAAAGAGGTGAGAAAAGAGGTTAGATCTAACCTTCTACCCTAAAATATATTTTTGTCTGATTTACACTCATTACGAAGAAGAAGTCTTGACAAAACATTTACGAAGAAGTCTTGACAAAACATTTACGAAGAAGTTTTGACAAAACATGTACGATGAAATCATGAAAATTCAAGAGGTTAGAAAAGAGGTTAGAAAAGAGGTTAGATCTAACCTTCTACCCTAAAATATATTTTTGCTGAATTCAGCACAAAAATCTGAGTAAAATGGCATAAGATTGCTACCCTCGGAAACAGTGAAGAACAGCGAGTACGTATGAAAATCGTGAAATTTCTCTAGACCGGATTTTACCGGCCTTGCCTAAAACACATGAAAATCATGAAGAACAGCGAGTAGGTAAGAAACCCTGGTCGCCAAAACACATGAAATCGTGAAAATTTCTCTAGACCGGATTTTACCGGCCTTGCCTAAAACACATGAAAATCATGAAGAACAGCGAGTAGGTAAGAAACCCCAGTCGCCAAAACACATGAAAATCATGAAGCACAGCGAGACCGTTTTTTTTTCTGGGTCGCCAAAACTCTATGAAAATCATGAATTTCCTTAAGATAGAAAAAATAAAGTTAGTTTTATTTTTATTTATTTTTTTATTTTGTATGTAAAGACATATATGTCAAACACTGAGTTTGAAACAGTTAAAAAGATAGACAATAACACTAAATTGGTTAGAATAGGTGATTTAAACGTAAGATACTCAAAGAAATACAACAAATATTCTTTGTCAGACATTATATCTCCATCTGGAAAGAAAACATGGCATTGGGTTGGAATTGCTTCAACTCAGAAAATTTTGACAAGAAATCCTGAGCTTATGATATCGGTAAGATTCTATGGAACTACAGCATATCTCATTGACAAAAGTCTTATACCAATAGTTTTGTTATGGTTAGACCCAGTTGTTGGATATAACTTCATAACATATGGTTTATTCGACTCAGAACGTTGCAGTGAAGGCTTACTTTACATCGTTCAGAAACCGAAGGACTTCAATACAAAGAGATATAAGATAGGAAGAACATATAATATAACTCAAAGATATGACAGTACAGTCAATAGAGTCAAGGTTGTGTTCGTTAACGATATGAGAGCTGCAGAAACAGAACTACTTGAAAAGTTTGAGAAAATGTATGGTGCTCCCATAAAAGGTAAAGAAACGTTTGAAGTAGATGAGATAGATAAAGCTATAAAATTATTTGACGAAGTTGCTGAAAAATACATGTAAAGCGTTTATTTTTGGTCTTTTGTGAAAGTCAGAAAATAAAGTTAGTTTTATTTTTATTTATTTTTTTATTTTGTATGTAAAGACAGATATGTCAACAACCGAGAACACAACAACAGTTATAGTCCATGAAGCTATAAATGAAGAATATGAGTGGGTTCAGTTTAACAAACAACTCCGTCTCATTCGTTCGGTCAAAGACGATATGTACCAAATGCAAAGTATTTTGAATGCTCTTCGTTCTACAAAGCAAGCATATCATTGGTTTGAAAACCAACAGACAAAAGAACTTTTAGAAGAATTTCCTCATATGTTTGCTACCCTCGAAAAACCGAGGAATGAGATTCCGTACGAAAATCGTAAAAATTTGCCAATAAATTTAAGAGGATATTATGTTCATAGACTTTTAGTAAATGCCGTAGCAATGTGGGCTTCACCTCGTTATGCTTGTTATATTTTCATGATGTTAGATGAAATTCATAGACAAGAACGTGAAGAGATGGAAAAGAAACTTCAAGCAAAAGATGAAGTCATTGAAGCAAAAGACAAAAGCATTCAGAAAAGAATACCACGTTCGGTACCAAAAGGAAAGGAAAAGAACTATAAGTATATGATTTATACTGAAGAGATGGAAAATGAAGAAGATAAAGATATGGTTATGTTGCATTTAGTCAGAAGAAACAACAAAAGCTTTTACGACCTTGCTAAGATTTACAAATCTGACAGAAATTGGTTCTATCGCGAAAACTTACCGATTTCAATGACACCGAATGAAGATGTGAAACAAATAGTTCAAGATACGTTACCTCAAACACACTATGATATGAAAGGTTGTACAATACTTACCTTCAAAGAAGATTTGCCATTGTTAAAGGAAAAAATAACAGAGTATTTTGACAACTTCAAACAAGTAGAGTAAATTGCACTCTTTATTTTTACGCTTGACTTCAGATGGCTCAGGTAGCTCTATAATGTAAATTGCCTCGTCAAATCCTTCTGGCATTCCGAGTCCTTCCATCCGACAGAAAAATATTTTCCCGACGACAAGAAAAAGTTTTTCCTTCCGACAACTGGAAAAAATTTTCCCGACAACTGGAAAAAAATTTTCCATCCGACAAGAAAAAATTTTCCATCCGACAAGAAAAAATTTTCCAGTTGTCCGTCCGTAAACCATTCAAATTTTCGAAAATTGAGAACTTTTTGGTCGAACTTCAGAAAAAAATTTTCCATCCGACAGGAAAAATTTTTCCATCCGACAGAAAAATATTTTCCCTTCCGACAGGAAAAGTTTTTCCATCCGACAGGAAAATTTTTTCCATCCGACAGGACACAAACGGATGACTGACGTTCCTCTTCCTGAATGCCTTCCAAAGCCAGAAGAACCGAAAGCTGCAGAACCACAACAGACTTACTAAGACTAAACACTTACATTTTTTAAGCTTGACTTTTTACAATTTGAACTTTGTTTGCGTAGATATGAATTCTGAAAGAAGTATGAGGGTCTTGTATGACTTTGTACTTCTCCCATAGTTCATGTCTGTCAAACTTACCTGCCATGGACTCTTTCATAAGTTCCATGAAATCGTCTTCGGACAATCCGGGGAAAAGTATAATGTCAGTAAGTATTCTTTTAACATCCTTACTTAAACTCTTGGCTGTCTGTACACAAATGACAACTGAGATGTTAAAGTGTCTGAGCTTCTTAAGAATTCGACACATATCTTGTTCTCTATTCTTTAACAAAGGATGAGAGGCGAAATCATCTAAGATAAGAAGACATCTATGAGGGTAAGTCTTCCAATCGTAAGATTGCAATTTCTTCGAAATGTATTCTATCTCTTTCTGTTTGTTTCTGAAGTGTTTCTTCTCTAATATTCTCTGCATTTCCTCATTTGGGTCTTTAAACTTAGAATTTATATACTCATTTATAGCATTATACTTCAAAACTCTTCTTTGGTACTTCTTTATCCAATCTAACAACTCAGTATCCTTTATACATACTAACTTAGACTTCTTTATAATATCTTTGAACGAATTGACGGTTTGGTCAAATTGACCAGAAGTACTACAAATGACAACTAACTCATAGAATGGGTTCTTCTCATCTAGTTCTTGTTGTTGTGCAGCCATTTTAAGATAAGTGAAAGTCTTACCCGACCCAGGTGGTGCAATTAGACCTGTTATACCATTCTGAGCAAATAAGAACTTGTCATGTATAGGTTTTATCTGAGCATTTTCTAACTTCCTCTTGTTCTTGTTTAAAACATTCTCAAATTTTTTGTCAATGTCAGCAAACTTTTTTCTAACATATTTTTAGAAAATTAAAATTTTTATCTTTTAGAAAATGTCTAGCGATTTCGCTATCTATATTCGAGACAAGCTTTTTGACAGCAAAACATCTGTCGACCATAAAATCTTACATAGTGTAAACAAGAAAGGTGAATTTGTTCTAAAGTTCTGTTTCTGGGAATATGACAAGAACCATAAAACATTAAGCAGAGCAGTCTTAAAATTTGTCAATGACAGACTTGTTGACAGAGATGACGCCTCTTGGAGAGATGAAGTCCAACAAAACTTCTTAGAATGCAAAGAAGACACATGCGCTGTTCTTGAAGATGAAAATAGAAAACAGAATAGAAGAGCTATTAAAGGACAAAGAACTTTTACATAAATATGGTTCGGAGAAATTTGACATAACTCCACCAGAAAAGAAGAAGAGAGAAAAAAAGAGAAGAAAGTAGAAGAGAAGAAAGAAAAGAAAGTAGAAGAAGAGAAGAAAGAACCTGAACCAGTTCCAGAGAAAAGAAATTTGACATGTAAAAATAAAATTTATATTTTAGAACATTTCTGGGTCAATGTCAATGTTCTCTTCCTCTTTAGGAGTAAACACTGGCTTAGACTCTAAAATCTTTTTACCCAATTACCTTGAACTTCTACAACTTTAGACTCATAATATTCATAGTCGTCTGCTTTCTTTGGTTCATAAGGTATAACAAGTTTGTATGCTTTGCCTTCTTTAAGGTTTGAGAACCTTCTGTCAAAATTTTCTTTGACTGCTAACAAACCTTCTATGTCTAAGTCTTCAAATTTCGCACCATTTTTAGTCACAATAGCAAACTTAACTGGTTCGATGTTCCAAACTTTGCTGAATGAAGACTTTTCAAAATGGTAGAAGTAAACATTCAAATATGTGAATGGGTCTAGTTCTTCTTTAAGTCCTGACATGTACTTGTTTACTGAGATGAATTTTGCCATCTTTTCTATCGGATAAAAAAATATTTTTTTTAAAATTTACTCATAAAAATTTTTCTTTGTATATACACCATTCTGTACGTCTAAAAGACTTTTGACATTTGCCAAGAATGTACGTTTAGACGCTGTCATATAACCATATTCTTGACAATATTGTTTATACGAATCGTACAATGACCTTTCATCTAAACACTCAAAATCAGTTTCATCTATGAACAGTTCATATACACTCTTGTTTGCTTCTAACAATGTTTGTCTCTTCGGTATGTGGAATTTGTCTTGGATTGAACTTAGAAATATCTAATGTCATGAAATATGAGAACAAGTGGTTGTAAAAGTCAGATGTCAAAGTTTCTGCTAAGTCGTCAAAATATTCTGTATCTTGCATATGAGAATCTGACGTTCTGACAACTACATATCTTCTGTCAGAACTTTCTAACTTCATCGGAACAGCATTGTTTGAAACCATAATGAAGTTTGCAACATTTTCACAAACTCTTTGGTCTTTATACTTTCTTTCAACAACTCCAACTTTGTCTGTTATAAGACTCTTCAAAGCATCTGAGTTTAAAACTTTTGTTGTATCTATACTTTGAAGTTCATTGCAAACTATAAGTTTCATATTCTCTATTGAGGAGTTAAATTTACGCAGATGTTTTCTATGTTTGTCATTATTCGGGTTCGAATAGCCCTCTAACAGTTTGCACAAAATATCTGTAAAGAATGTGTTCTTACCTGTTCCTTGTTTTCCAATTATAATGAGAGCAGTTTCATTCTTAGCACTTGGATGTTGTAAGATGTTTGCAAACCAACATAAGATATACTCATAAACCTTTTCGCTTCCATT